TCCATCGGCTGCAGTTTACGCCGTTCCCAACTCATAGAGGACCGTAAAGCTTGCGCAAAAACTTTTTCTCCTGTCGTCGACTCATCAGATGTTGTCGTCGTCCATGCCTCCCCACGATATATCAGGATGGGAACGATAAGCGACTTGTAGAGTTTGGTTTTTGTTCGTCGAGAGAGGACTGCCTACTCAGTCTGAAGTGGCATGTGTTGGCAAAAGTGATTCTGTGTTAGATTTTAGGGCTGACATTGTTGTTGGTGTTGATACTGGTTCCAAGATAGACGAAATTATCTACGACTTCAAAATTGTGACTGTCAACAGTGACGTGACAGCCAAGTCGCGAATGCAGTGCCAGTTTCTTTGATGACAGGAGATATTTCGTCTTGTCCTCGTTCCCTACTAGGCCCATATCCTTCGCTTCATTATCGAGTCTGGAGAGAACAGAACTCACCGCGCGGTTATTGATTGTACCTTCTCGATTTAGCGCCCTAAAGTTGTCTTAATTGTCGCCAAACCGTCTTCCAGAAATCTTATTGATTTGTTCATTGGAGCGGTTTTCCTTTTCGCTACTTCTGTTGTGCCCTCAATCACTGCTTGGAGTACAGTATTGTAATTATTGAGCTACCTTGCTCCTATGGTTGCCTCATATTTCGACCTATAGTAGCTGCATTGTTGCCGACGGGGCCGCCTTTCGTCCATTTTTCTCTGCTACCTACGCAGTAGAAGTGCCTCGACTCGGCAAAAGATTTCCGTTCCTCCATCGGATTTTACGTTCAGCCTGAACTCTGATATAATTTTCTTAATTCCATTCTGTCTTTCCCAATTCAATTTAGACTGTTAGTTAGCTGCTAGGTGGGCTTTAATCGTTCACAAAATCCTTTTTTAGGACATTATTGAGAATATTTTTGACAGTTTTTTTGATTTAAGAATCATTTTTGATTTAAAAATTTAACGCGGTAAGTCAATGGGTCCAAGAAAAGGGATGAATGAGCTCTACTTGAAATCAGAGGTAAGGCTAAGGCATAAGTTTCCTAAACTTTTTCAGTTCCGTCTTTGAAAAAGAGGAAATTTTCTTTGAAGTAAATATGTTAGATTAGATTATTTGTCTCTAAGAAAACCTTAATAATAAGACATACGCATGTTTCAGTGATTATGTAACCTGAGAGCAGTAAAAGCAGAAGGTTATGGCGCTAATAAAAAATAAGCGCTGAGAGGCTCTTACATGGATTTAATTCAATTCTGGAAAATATTTGCTACATTAAGCGCAGATGGAGCGCAAAAAAGTTGCTCGTGACGCTCGAGAAAAATGCCAACAATAAACTCTTCTATTTTCTGTGAAGACTAATTCCATATTCGCAGAGAAAGGTTGTCCATACGATATATATATGTATGTCTTTCCTGTACATATGCAACTGTGAGACATATGCTAATCAAGTAATCGTGTAAGAAATTGTAGGAAAGCAATTTTCGTCGACTACATTCTTATCAATATTCAACCAATCATTTCGCCCTACATACATACATACATTCAATATTCTTAGACTTTTACTTTCGTCTATTTGCTGTGAGCATCTTTCGTTGCTAGCACACTGTATTTCACTCACTTTTGCATTGCATTCACTGCATGAGAAACTGCATTAGTTGGAGAATTTTACAAACTTGCTTAATTTTCTTTACAATTTAGTTGTTGCAGTTGTTGTTATTCTATCATGCGACTTGTTTGTATGCAATTCATATTGACACACCTACCTACAGTTGTATTTGTAAGAAAATTTGCATGTGTGAGTAGTAGTTTTGTTGAAAGTTGTTGCAGGAAAGTAATTTTTCGTCTTGGAAAATTTATTTACCGTGCAGCGAGTGAAAGACGAATTGATTTCTTTTGTCATGCAAAATTACTTTGATTACGTCTTATTGCCATATAATATATGTATATGTACTCGTATGTACATATGTCGCTGTTCGAGCTTTAAGAGTTTTTTTTTTAACTAATTGGATATCAATGTATGTAAGAGATTTTTTTTGTTTGAATTTGAATTTATTACGAGAAAGCTTGTTTACACCACCAGGGATTGTAATTCAAGGCTTTCCGACATCCCTTTGGAACTAACAGCCCAAATTCCGTCAGTTATTGTTTGAATCGAAAAAGCGATTGCAATATTTGACTGTGATCACGAATAGCTCAGAAAAGTTTAACCGAAGAGAATGTGAAGGATTTAGCATTGAATTTGATTTTAGCTTGAGTTTCAAGATGAGTTTGAGTTTCAACTTGAGTTCGCGTTTAAATTTGAGTTTGCGTTTCAACTTGAGGTTGAGTTTCAAGTTGAGTTTGAGTTTGAGTTTTAACTTGAGTTTGAGTTTCAACTTGAGTTTGAATTTTAACTAGAGTTTAAATGAATGAATTTGCGTTTGAGTCTGAATTCGATTTTAACTATGAGTTTATATAGGTTCTGATGTTTGTTTGAGCTTGAGTTTGATTTTGAGCTTAAGCGCGAAACTTAGTTTTAGTTTGAACTTGAGTTGAGCTTTAGTTTGAGTTTGTTTGAGTTGGTTTGAGTTTGTTTGAGTTGAAGTTTTAATTTGAACTAGAGCTTGAGTTACATTTCGACTTTGAGTTTGGGTTAGATTTTTAATCAGAACTTAAAATCACGTTTAGATTTGAGTTTGATTGTGAGATAGCTTCTAAGTTATTTTAAAATTGAACTTAAGCTTGTGCTTGAGCTTAAGTAAAAATTTTAGTTTAATTTGAGTTTGAGTTTAGACAGGATTTTTGTTAGCTTGAGCATCAGTTTTGATTCACCTTTAGATCTTAGTTTGAGTTTCACTTAGATTTTGCTTTCCTTTGTGCTTAAGTTAGCTTTGAGTTAATATTTTTTTTTTTCTGTTAGAATTTTATTTCGACATTGAGTTTAAATTTAATATGAATTTGTGTTCGCGCTTCAGTGAAAGTGGGAGTTCGAATTTGAATCTGCATTTAATTTTTTTCCGAATTAATATTCTAGTTAAAGTTGTCATGCACATTTAAAACTCATTTTAAATGTGTTTTGGGTATGATTATTAAGCGTGTTCTTGAATTAGATTCGATTTGAGTTTAGAAATAATATAAATTTTTATTTTAGTGTAATTTTAATAAATATTTTACAGAGCTGTTGAGTTTGTATTGAAATTTGAAGTTGAGTTTGGTTCTGAGTGTTTTACTTGCTTAAGCAGCCGCCAAGTTGAAAATGCTCTTCATAAAATAAATATGATTTTCTACCGAGCGATGTTTCAGATCTTGATCCCATTGTGTATTATGAGCCTTTATAGCGAAGTCTTCACGCAGAATCCTGCTCGGAGTAATGCGCGAAATGTTTAATACCTGCGAAAGTCTTCGAGCTGCTGTTGTAGGCTGTTCGAATACTCTTTTTGCAGCAGCAGTATTTTCCTCTGCATGCAATGAACTACCACTTGTTGGACTTGTATTGTTCGGTAAAGAAACGGTTTGGCGAGCTCGCTCCCTTAATTGATCCACAAATTACCTGCCGGATGTGCGGATTCACCGGTTTTCTTTCCTAATTTTCTTGTAGTTGCAATGAAAGACTAACAATTTTGATATCAAGTTCTCAATATTTCTTATTTGCCGTCAAGCGTTTACTTAAGAAGGGTGGGCTGGTCTAGAATTTTGAAAAACTGAAAAAAATTTAGTTATCATAAAAGATGCTTTAAGGATCTTAGAAATAACATACCAAAGGATGAATGCTGACAAATATGTTCAAGTGCCTCGCAGGTACCCTGAGACGCGGTTTTCTTGAAATTATTTTTTTTAACTTAATTTTGTTAGTAGGTTATTTTTTGATGCAGAACAAAATCTTAAAAAGGCGTCTTCTGTGAAATTCGGATATTTTGATATCAAACAAAATAATTTTTATTTGTATCATGAAAGCTATATGACCTAAAGTTATTTCATGGATTTTTGATTGATTCCTTTTTTCTTGCACTCTATACCAGCTTCCATCCCTTAAGGGGCTACATAGGGCTTCAAGGACAAAAGAAAGCTTATTTTCTCGCATTTTTTTTAAAGATATTAAATAAAGTATACAATTTATTTTGCTCACATATAAAAGTACAATATGTGGACAACATTTGATGAAAATTTGACTAAAAAGAAGTATAAGTTAAGGCGTTGGCAGTGTCGTGAAGTAGACCGTACACAAGAAAGTGCTTTCGCGGTAGTCATGATAACTTTTTCAATTTTTATCTGAAATCAAAAATCCAAATTTTTTGTTAAAGTAGGTGAATTTTAATTGCCTCGAATGAAGAAAAATTAAAAAAAATTAAACATCGTTTTTTTTGTAGCGTTTTTTACAAAAAACGTAAATTTTTGCATAAATTTTGTTAACCTATTGGCTTGTTGAGTGAGTTGGAATCAAAGATAAAATAAATCCTTCAGGGACTAAAAAAAAATGCTCAAAATAAGTGTGAAAAATTTGAACTCGATCGCTTCAATAGTCGTTGAGAAATTTTGACTACCGATTTCGTTAAAGTGGTTTTCAGAAAAACGCAATTTTTGCATCGGTCAAGCCATGACGAAGACGGTGGGTTATAAATCTCTCTAGATTCTACAGTTTCGTTTCGATCGACTTGAAACTTGCGGAAAATATGCGTGACACTTTGCACCATTATACAAAAAATTTTCGAAAAAATTAATTTTTTTGAAATTTGAATGCCTATGTAACTTAATAATCTTTACGTAAATTGCATATCTGGCAAAGAATATTTTCTACATCGGCAATGCCATTGAGAATTCTTATTTTTGCGAAAAGATTATGTTATTTAAGCTATTTTTATGAATTTTTAGCGTTATATTTAGAAGAAGTGTAGAAATATTAATTAGATCACTCTAATATATATTTTACGGTCTCCGTTTGATCTATATTATCATATATATATATATATATATATATATGAATATAGTTTCCGCCTTCCGTTAACATTTCAGTTTTCTATCTACTTTACTGTATTTGCAGGAATTATACTCGTGGGACAAAGGAAACGCACTCACATATCCCATTCGTTATCGCGAGCCCAGTCTCAGCGGCGAACGGACATAAATAAGCGCAGCCAACTTGAAAGCAGCAAAATGCATTGCCAGACAGTAATGTGCACAGTTGTGCTCTATCGAGTGAATGTGTGTTTGCATGGCGAGTATACATACATACTATGTATGAGCAATACATATTTTGCTCATGCAGCTGCAAACTTGTATACATATGTATGCATGTACACACATGAAATTGCAACGCATTAAATATTTGGCAAATAAATACAAATATAAATAAATATTTATATTTTTAGTATTTAAAAATTAAAAAAAAAAAATTATAGTCTATTTGTTTTGTATTTATTACCAAACCAAATTGTTTATTGTAAAAAAATGCAAAATGAGCTATTAATTTACAGTTGAGGCAATATTATTTATTCAACATTTTCGATTTAGGCACATTGTTCGTATGTAAGTAAATATATTAATAGAGAATTTCCGCAAGCAAAAATTAGATGCTCTAGTTAAGCTCACAAAAAAAATAACAAACAAAAAAAATTAATAAAAATAGGAAATTGAATAAATAATAAAATAGTTAAATAAACGCATTGATATTTAGTAAATAAATAATGTAAATTAAAAGCAGTAATATTCAAATTTAGATTTATGCCATTTTGCATAATAAAATTAGCGAATAAGTCACTTGCATATGTATATAAATACAAATACATATATGTATAGTAAATTTTGTGTATTTTTATGTAATCGAATTGTAGTAATGACAACCGCAAAGAATTTATAATAAATTATATAAAATGCATTTGAGTTGAATTGAATTAGCTTAATTGAAATGTTGACCAACTCAACGGTTGTTGATGTTTTTGGTGTAACCAAAAGTAAGTAACAGAAGAATATAGATGTATTTATATGAATCTATATGTAAATATATGGACTTATCCATTTCGCGGTTCCAAACTAACTGGGTTGTACTTTGACATCTGTCAAACATAACTGTAAAACCAAACATGTTTTGTTTTGTTTTCGTGAAAGGTTGAAAGCCATGCCAATTTACCACCGCGATCATGCGATTTGCCACCGTTGAACAATGTTGATTGTGGAGCTACGTGATAGACCGTGCTTATGCGGATAAATCTTGGACTCTTGAGCACCGCCCGTTATGTGCCAAAAATTGGTCGAAAATTACCTCAAATGAATCGGAGGATATGGCCATTTTGATGGCAGACAAAAATGGGAAGAAGTCGAGATGCGTGAGCACGAAGAGCTTGAGAAGCTGGCAAAAAAGGGTGACGCACGAAAATTCTACGAAAAGATATGGCGACTAACAGATGGTTTCTAGACCGGAGCAGACTCTTGTCGGACAAAAAGAGGTGATTTGGTTTCTGATGCCTAGAATCTACTACTGAATAGCATTAACACATTAATTTCGTAAATACGAGGCTATCGAGCATCACCGTTATCAGTGCGGCTTTCATTGATCATTAAATTTTGCAAAATACCCGTGAAAAGAATATCGACACATACCACTTCTTCATCGATTTTAAATCTGCCTTCGTTGGAATGAAAAGGAGATGCCTCTATGGCTATATGCCTTAACTCGATATCTCCGTTAAATTTAAAGGGCTATGTAAACTGACGTTAAGCAACGCGAAAAGCTCTGTCAGTATTGGGAAGAACCTCTCCAATACGCTCGATACCAAACGAGGTCTCAGGCGAGATGATTCGCATTAATTTATTGAAAAAAAAAAAAAAATTGTTTTAAATACATTTTATGTACGTTTATTTTTGAAACCGCAAAATGTACAACCCTTTACGAGTAGAACTATTTGCGAATCATTTTTGACAAACCAGAAATATGGCAATATCGCACAGCTGCTTCTGTGGCCCTTTATGGCCGCAATTTACCAGCGAAAACACACACACTGCTGCATGCGCGCCCATGGCTCTAACGATTGTGAGTTTTGTAAACACTTTTGCCATATTTTCATGCTAGAATGCAGAACATTTCATTGACAATTTTCTACAAAATTTCAATATACCTTGCATATGTTTACCGCCAACACGCTGAATATTCAATGAAATACATAGTAAACAAGTGCTGGCAAATGTGTGTATGTATGTATGTGTGCGTGCGTGTGTGTCAACAGCAAACGACCACAAAAGCAGCAGCAGCAGCAGCAACAAATTTGTCAATATTCGTTAGAGTGGCGGTGGAAAAGTAGAGCGTTGGCGTGTACTGAAGCGGCGAGAGTGTGTAGGTGTGTGCTTAAATCTGCGTGTAGTTGTATAGGTGTTTGTAAATATGTATGCATTTATATGTACTTATTTTGAAATCCTGCCCTTAGGCGGGGCTATCAATAATTCCAAATGTATTAATTTTAAATTTTTCACGTGTTGCTACGTACACTTGCTTAGACTGGAGGCTCCAAAGTTGGAATTCACCCTGCATTTGCACAGATTTTGGCATCTCAAATGACTTTTATGAGTGGAATTATAGTACCTTTTTTGATATATAAAGAGGACAGAATTGGTACTAATATGAATTGGATAGGTTAGGTTAAGTAGAAGTGGTTGCTCACCAAATGGTCCCGGTTAGCACTGTACATCCTAATGACCCCCGGCCACTGGTCATACCAATGCGTCCTTACTCTGCAGCTCTCTGCATGTCTCGCTACTAGAATATGCCCTGTGAGAAGATCCCTAACTGAAAATATCTCCTTCAATTTGTGCGCTATCAGGTCTTATGACCTTCGTTCACCTTATACTGACCGCATCGCCCTAATCACATTGCAGCCCATGATACTGCTCCAGCTTGAATATGCATATTTAACGAATAAACCCTCACAGTGAGCTTACAAGTAAGGAGCCTTACATCATGACGAAAGTGGAAGTGTAGAACGTTTCTATGAAAAATCGTGTGCCATATCATCACCCGACATCTTACTGTGTTCAGACATTCATACCTTTCGTGGTACAGATACCAGTGCTGTCAATGCGGTGGATTTTCAAAAAGATATTGTTACGATTTTCTGTGGTTACCATTTAATTTGTGTCCACGGACAGCTCATTTATAAACACGAGCATCGCTGAAAAACACAACAGTGATCAAGTAAATGAAAAGGTTTGGTAATACTAAGCGCGCTTTAGTAGAGCGACTACTTTTGTCCAGCTCTCATCCATCTGGATAAGAATGAATCGAGCCTGCACTTGGTTCTATCCTGTTCCATTACTTTCTATGTGGGATAACTTCATTGAAATCCATCAGAAAGTCATTGAAGGTAGTGCAGTGGTGCGTCTTTTCCGGTATACCGGTCCTTTTTAAGCTGTGGGTATAACCGTCGATTATTGCCTTATTATCTGCATCCACTTCCTTGAGCTCTGTGTTCAGCTTGATTTTTTGTGGAGCTAAATTTTTTTTTGCTCAAAACGAGTCCCTGGTATTTTTTGGGCTCAATAACGCACAGCGTCATTCCTGAAAAATATGTGCAGTTTCATACTTTCTGATGAAGGGAACCAGCTGCGACTTTTGTGGGTCAATGCCTAAGTCAGCATCAATAGCCCACTTTTCTCTTCGCCATAGTCTGCCTTGTGTGAAATCACATAAAGTTTTTTGGAATTCTCCAAACATCATAACTGACTGCTCATCCTCATCTACGAAGACTCCGCATTCCTCTCTTTTCTGCTTGGCCGGCATCTTAAAGATTGACTCCGCTGGTTTCTCGTCCAGATTAAAATGTGATGTGGTTTAGAAGCTTAATGACATGTTCGTCATGTACAAGCCGTGGTTTGAAGCGGTCACACAGCTACTAATTGCACTTCGCCATCGAGTGCACGGTTGAAAAATCTTCTACAGAGTTGATCGCCAGTCTCGATACAATCTTTCGAGTAATACTGCGAGATTTGCCTAAAACGATGTCCAGCAGACCATCATTAAAGGCGGTCTACAGCTTTTCTCGCATCTGTCATGGCCACATTTTTGCAGCTGCTTTATCACTGGTTCCTGCAGTTTACCCATTACGAGAGGAATAAGATATCTACTTTTTCTCCGACGTTGCATCACGAATTACGAGCCAGTTTCCGGTTTATGATTTTCTGTTTCCATTGAGTTTGCATTCAATTTGAGGTTGATACTGTAGCACATTTTGCCAGTACCTACCAGTGAGTTTGACAGCTCCTTTGCTAGGGTTAGCTTCATCTCTTTGTTTTGTTGAGAAGCTTATCTGAAAATATATTCTAAGTTACTACTTTCGCTCATATTTAGGAATTGTTGCAGTCATTTTTCTAATCCTGGAAACTTACTAGCATGACTTCTTCAACCCGCATGCTTTTGCAACACCAGTTTGGGGCTAGCTTTAGATTGGGAGTGACTGTTTAAGGCAACCCGTATGGAAACAGCCAGCATCTTTTCCAAATCTTCTTAGTGCGGTCGGAACTGTCCGTGTCGTGGATATTTCCTTGTTAGACTTGATAACAAATTGTGGAATGATTTATGCACAACAATTACAATAACAACAACTTTCCATAGATAAATAAAGATATAGCTAATATACAAACGCATATCTTGTGCTAATCTGGGGTGTAGAGACATTTTCGGAGACACTAGGTCAACCGAAGAATGGTTTAAAAAGCAGGGAATCAGTATAAAGGATAGAAAATGCTTGAGTTTAGTGAAGCCCGATAATCTTTACGCTTGTTGAAAGTAAAAAGTATTCCAAATACTGAGAACTCCAGAAGTACTGCAAAACAAAACATGTTTAATATTTCTAGAATTTGTTTATTTGAATTTAAGTCAAGTTTCCTTCGAAATTCTCTACATTGTCAGCTCTTAATCCTTCCATATAATTTCCAAGCTTCAATATTTGTCGCGTTTAATCAATATGGGAAAAGTCATAAACACATACACACACACACACACACACACACACACACTTACACATAATGCAGAGATTTTGCTTAATTAATTCAACAAATTATCTGTTACTGACCGCAAAATTGTGGTGAAAATTTGAGGCAGCGAAAAAACTAATATGAAAGTCTGGAAAAAAATTCCAACAGCAAGGAAATAAATGAGAATTTTTCAGCATAGTTTTTCACAAAGCTCATATATCATAAAATATAATCCGTGTTTGTGTGCATGTACGAAAGTGTATGTGTGTGTATGTGTGTGTGTGTGTGTGTGTGTAGTGAAACATTATTTGTGCGGCAACATAATTACGCAAAAAACATTCGACTCCTCTCTTGCAGCGTCACCCGCAGCCCTTGCGGTCATGTC